GCATCTTCTCCCGCAATGAGGGCATTGATTTCCAGGTGGAAGGCGGTCTTGGTCGGGGTTGGCTTGATGTGTCTTCCTCTTTGCACATTTCTCTCTTTCACCCTCCATTCATGCCTCTTCAAATTCTACAGCACTGCTGATCACAGCTGACCTCCAGCTGGAGCACTCAAGGGCCAGGGCATCCCAGTTCTCAGTGTCTATGCCAGAGTTTTTAAGGTTGGTTTTGAGCCCATCTTTAAATCTCTTTTTCTGTCCTTCAACATTCCATTTCCCGTTCTTAAGTTTAGAGTAGAGCAACTGTTTTGGGAGATAGTGATTGCTCATTCGGACAACATGACCAGTCCAGCAGAGTTCATGGCAGAGGACCATCAGTTCAATGATGGTGGTCTTTGCTTCTTCCAGAATGCTGACATTTGTCTGTTTGTCTTCCCAAGATATTTGCAGGATTTTTCAGAGGCAACACTGATGGAATCATTACAGGAGTTGCATGTGACATCTGTCGATAGTCCAAGTCTTGCAGGCATATAGCAGTTTTGGGAGGACAATAGCTTTATAAACAAACACCTTGGTATCCCTACGGATGTCCCAGTCCTCAAACACTCTGTGCTTCATTTGGGAAAATGCTGCACTTGCAGAGCTCAGAAAGTGTTGTATTTCAATGTCAATGTTGACTTTTGTGGAGAGGTGGCTGCCAAGGTAGCGGAAATTGTCAACATTTTCTAGTGTTACACTGTTAAGCTATATTTCTACATTGAAGAGGGATTGGCTGGTGACTGCTGGAAGATCACTTTGGTTTTCTCGATGTTCAGGCCACATAACTGCTTTTGTTGGAGGCAGGCATGCAGATAAGTTTGGGAAATAAATTGGGGAAAGAAAAATTAAGGGGAAAGTTAGTCTTTAAATTTAATAAGGTTGATTTGTTTCCATATCCTAAGATGAGGGGCCTTGAACAGCTAGAAACTTCTCAGTATATCATTCTGTATGATATGGGAAGGAAAATATTTAGAGTAGTTATGTGGGCTAGGAATATGCTGTAACCCCCTTCAGTATCATCTCCTTATCTATTGATTATGTTTTAGAGAGGCTACATTATATTATATTAACTATTGCATACCATGTAGTTGCATCAGTAGCTTTTTCCATCTCACAATTCCATAGTGAGACCAATACCTCAAAAAGAAGTCAAGTCTTTTACTACAAAAATCTTCCAAAACATTCAGGAATCCATCAGATGAAAGGGGTGGGGGAGTGGGCCATATTAAACAGATACCCACCCCTGCAGATAGGCAAACTTCACAGATAAGTGATCTGACCATGACAACGGTATTGTTACAAACACACCACTAAAATCAGATTGTCCACCATCCATTCAATGGCACAAAAGCAAGTCTAAAATGTAGCTCCCACATATATTGGATTTGCATTTTCTCCCTTCCTCTCTCATTCACTTAGCCTTTGCAATTGCATTGTACCTGCAGAAATCTGCCTATATGCCACAGCTGAATAACTTAGAAACCAGTTGCTGGGCTGAAGGACTCGTAACATAGTAGTAGGCCTAGCTCTTTCATTAAATGACTTATTTGCTTAAGCCAAGAAGATTGGAAAACATTCTATTTTCTCATCATTCTAAGTGATGGGTGTTTAGGGAATCTATCTCAGACCATTAGCAGTTCCACATAATTAATGTAGGATTTTATTTCAGAGGTCTAAGTACCATTATGCATCTCATACTACCATAATATGCTATTTAGTTTCCTGTGTACTCTGCTGAGTTTAGTGATATAATTTCCAATTATCCAAATAGCTTTATTCTAAAAAACAAAAACAAAAACAGGGAGGGGTATCAGTAAATATGTTTGCAAAGTCCTTCTGTCTAGGATAGCCATCCTCATTGGGTCAGTGAGGACAGGACTGTAGCATTAAGCTGATGCTAGATCTGAGCTAGTGATAGTTTAGGGGTTTGCTGTCGGAAATTTCTTTGGGAAGATCCCAGTAGATGTGACTTCCATCCTTTTCCAAGTAGACAGGTCTCATGCCATATCTCCCCCAACTCCTTTGGTTTTAGATCAAAGCATCTGCACAGACATGAACTGATATATGACAACAGCATGATAGATATTGCAGGATCTTCTTTGTGGATCATATACGAGGGTTGAATGAAAAGTAATGCCTCCACCTTCGCAAATCCTCAAAAGATGGCAGTATTGGTATGCGGCAAGTACTGGCTTGTTCTGTAGACTCTCCTCTACAGTTCCATTTTGGCAGGAAACCTTAGCATTGAATGGTTGTGTTGTTAAAGTGCAAAATATGGAACCCTGTGCAGACAGTTGGTCAATGTGACTAAAGCAACGTGCAGTCATTGAATTCTTGACGCAGAAAGTGTCACCCCAAAGGAGATTCATCAGAGAATGCAAGCTGTTTATGGTGATTGTGTTGATGCGAGTACTGTACATCATTGGGTGCGTAAGTTTAAAGATGTTGAGGTGGGAACATCTGACTTGCGTGACAAAGAAAGAGTTGGACGTCCTGTGACAGCAACCACCAAGTTTCACAAGCAAAAGGTTGACAGATTGATTCAGGACAATCATCATATCATTCAGAGAGAAATTTCAAGCATAATCGGCTTTTCACAAGAACATGTGGGTCCCATTATTGCTTTGCTTGGCTATCAGAAGATCTGTGCACTATGGGTTGCGGAAACAGAGTGTCGACTTCTTCCGTGACGGCTTCAGAAACCTTGTTCATTGTTGGAAGAAATATATCCAACTGTCTGGTGCTTATGTGGAAAAGTGAATAGTGGTAGTTAAAGAGCACATTCTAAGGATTATTTCTGTGTTTAATTTATTAAAATATTCCCATCCAAACCCAAGCAACGAAAGTGGAGGCATTACTTTTCATTCAACCGTTGTAACATAACTGTGCTTCAAAGTTAGGAATACCCATGGCATTTCAATTATTCTTCAGTCATCTTGGTATTCCATTTGTTCCTTGCAAAGGAATGTAATCTTCCTGAATGTTTTTCAGCATCCCTTCATCCCAGTCACAGGAAGGGATTTCAGTACTCTTATGGGATGCTTCTCTTTACACATGCTTTACCCTGTAATGATAAATCCATCCAAAAGCTTGGGAGCCTTGATCTCTGGCTATCTCAATGTTGTTCACATGTCTCACTGGTTCTTCACAGCCTTGGGAACTTCTTTCTCAATTGTGGTGTTATCTTTCTCTATGCCAATATCTACTATATACCTTGGAGATAGTAAATAAACTTTATGTAGGCATAGGCATAGTTCAGAGAGTTACTCCATGCACAAGCTGCCACATTTAATCCATAGGTGGTGAGTTGTACAAGTTATCTGCTTGAGAACTTTGAGTGCAAGTCATTAGATATTAGCAGGTTGTGATTAGGGTTACGTAGGGAAAGCCATGATTCTCTGCCTGGCAAAAGGATATAACTATTAGATGAAACAGTATAAACTGAGGTAAATATCTTGGGGGGGGGGGGAGGTGATCCAGTTGTAAGTACAAGTCTACGTGGTTAAGAACTTTGAACATAGAATGCTACATTATGTTGGATTCAACTGTCTGCTACAACTAGCAGAGAGCCTTTCAGTGTAGTTTTAGCCATTTGCTACCACATCCTTTTAGCTAGAAGTGCTCTTTGGCATCACTGCTTGGCAAATTTATTTTTATTATTTATTTCCTTACTAGTTTATTATATAGATTGCCAGAATATAATGTTTTCTAGTGTGAAAATCGCTTTTAGTTTAAACTGTACGGTTTCAGAAATGCATGTGTTAAAACAATAGAGATGTGTAGAATTGGTAGAGTGCCACTTTTGAAGTTTCCTGCGCAAACTGGAAAAGAAGGTCACAATGTGCTCTGTGCATTGTGCTAAGGTGTGAACTGACATGATAGGAGAATGTGGTGTAAATATTTTGAAAATAAATCGACAGTGTTGCTTTCATCGAAAGCTGAATTGACGAGTTTGGCGTTATTCAACTTTGTGCCTTCAAGAAGTTCCTTGCAAGGTCGAAGCAGCTGATATAAGAATGGTGATTTATCTCAACTTTCCTGGTATAGATTATATTTATTAAACCCTTGCTGGCATGGCCAATGAACCTATACTGCAAAATGTGACTTTTCTGAGTTCTGCCCTTCACAAAACATGTATTGACATAGGGTTCCTCCTGTATTTTTGGCAATATCTATTTGCAACAATTTATCTGTATTAGCTGATTAATTTATACACAATCCTAGTCCTCCCTCAAGTCATGAAAAACAGAAAAATGTCCCCACATTTGTCATGATTGCAGTGTTCAGTGTAATGAAAAGTAGGAAGATTAAAGGAATTTATGGGATGAAGTGAAGATGCATAATGTATCAATGGACTGTTTTCAAGCTGGTTTCCCCCATCTTGGCTGTGGTAGATGACTTTGTGTTATGATTCTGGTTCTACTGGAAGTTGAATCTCTCTGTCATTTTATAAAGTTGGCCTAAAAGTCAAAAAGGAGCTATTGCACATTAGCCAGGATTAAGATCTTGACAGAAGTAGTTCATAAGAAGTTTACCTTAGACGTTCCTTCTTCATGGTCTCCATTTATGGAAATACATCTTTTCCCCTTTGTAGATCTATCGCATTCAGCGCTCCATACCAAAATGCTCCCCTCCAAAAAAATCTGGGTCTTCCCATTTGCACTCAACATACCTGACATTCCAAAATTACTTTCTGTTTACATGTCCATTCTTCTTTTCTTCTTCAATTAACGACCCCACCTCATCTTCATTCATTATCATGGAAACCTTTCCTGAGATGCCTTTTTGAACCGGTTTAGTGTTAAAAGCCACATCTCACTGCCGCTGCTTCTACCGCTGCTGCTTTGAAAGACAATTGATTTTGAATGGCTGAAGGGGAGCCGCCATGGTGTTTTTGGAGTGACCTCCCCTCCCCGCTTGTCTCCTCTTTTTTTTTTGGTTTTGTTTCGACTTGTCTTTGTGCGCAGTCAAAAGGTCAGCTTGAAAGATCGTGTCTTCTCCAGCCCCCGAGGTGCAGCCACCAAAGGGAAAGGTTCTCCTCAGGCCCCAGGGATCCGGCGATCCCCCAGTGCGGACCAGAGCATTGATGACAGCCCAAGTAAAGTCCCCAAGAGCTGGAGCTTTGGAGACCGAAGCCGAGCCCGGCAAGCCTTCCGCATCAAGGGAGCTTCATCCCGGCAAAATTCAGAAGGTGAGGCAGGCAGGAATTGGGGTGGGCAGCACGTAGAAGAAGCTTGGTTAAAGAACTGTGTGGGATTTATCAGTCATGAGAGCCATGTTTAAATATTTGATAGGATGTCATAAGGAAGAGTGAGCAGACTTGCTTACTGCTGCCTTGGAGACTAGGGATCCGAGCAATCAATTCAAATTACAGGAAAGGAAATTCTAGCTGAACATTGGGAAGAACTTCCTGAAAGTAAGGGCTGTTCAACTGCACTGTTGGAGTCAAACTCATTGCCTCAGAGTGTGGTAGAGGCTCCTTCCTTGGAGGTTTTTAAACAGAGGCAGGAAGGGCATCTGTCTGGGGTGCTTTGCTTGTGCTTTTCCTGCACAGCAGGGGGTCAAACTGTGTGGCCCCTGTAGTCTCTCCCATCTCTATGATTCTACGAAACTGCTTAAATTGGAAGCACTGATTTTGAGACAGGGATATAACTGTCCATTTCATTTTTGTAAGCAAAAATAAGTCCTTGCAATCATTGTCTTCTCTTTGGGTGAAAGTCCAGGAGAAGCACACATTTTTGAATAGTATTTGCATCAGGGTTTATGATACACAAATGGGTATTTTTTTTCTTTTCGCAAAACACTGATTTGCTGCACAAGAAACTCCTTTTTGTGTGCAAAAAACAGGATTATCTTTGTACAGGGAGTATATCCAGGAAACAGATCTTATATTTTGCAAAAACTGCCTCAAACAACCACAACTATGTATTTGACCATAGTCTAGCCCACAATAAATTTTGTGCAGAGAAGATCCCAGAGGGCTGTAATTTCTCCTCCCTCTAAGATCGCTTAAAACAATACTTACTGCTCTTTTGTTTACTGGAGGCCCTTCAAGAGGGAAGAAACTCAGGTGAAAGTGGGTTATTTTAACCCATTCCATCCTGGGTTTGTGTCCCTAACCACAATCCAAACCCTGGGCTATGGAATTCCATGCAAGAATTTAGGTTTTTAGTGAAATAGAACATTTCAGCAGGTGGTGTATTCATTTATTTGTTTCTAAAGTTCTTCTTTGTTAGATGGTCATCTCTGATATATTTTAGTTGTGGAATTCTGCATTGGCACCTAGTTGGAAGAGACATCCCATGGAATCCCTTTCAGTATATGATACTATGATTCTATGATTTTCTTTAGCTTTACCACGTTGCCTGCAGATTGTCCTGCATATCATATACTCCTTCTTTTACTGCAACAATAAGGCTAATAGATAATAGATGATGCTTTTGTCTTCTCTGCTTTCCTGGCTTTTCTTTCCTTCCATAGACGCAGGCCTTCCTGGAGAAGATATGGGAGATCCTGACAACAAGAGCTGCAACTGTGAATTTGTGACAGAAGATCTGACCCCAGGCCTTAAACTCAGCATCAGGGCAGTGTGGTAAGGAGATATATTTGCTGACATGCATTGGCATATATTTGTGTGGACATTTATTGGATGAGGCAGGTCAGAACTGTGACTGTAATAAATCCAAGCAATGCTGAACCATGTTGGGGACTTCACTCTTGCTGATAGTATTCAGTGTGATTCTCTCTTGCCCTTAAAATGAAGAGAGTCATATTTGGCTTGGAAAGGAAACAGTGTTTTGAATTAACAGCCTTGACAGTCACAAGTACCAGCTCTATGAAACAAAGAGCAGGAAGGCACAGGCTGCCACTCATTTTCCTCCTTGTTATCATCTTAGACACCGTGTTTCCTCGGTTCAGTATATGAATTAAGACAAGTTCAACAAAACTAAAAATAATAATAGAATAATAAAATAGAATAATTTTATCAACAGCCCTAAAAATAATTTATGCAAACAATGAAGTTGTTACAGAACAATTTTTAAAAAGTATCATTATAGTAGTGGAGCATACTCTTAAAAATCTTTCTCTAATGATTGAATAATAAAATATATTTACCTGCCAGGGAAAGGACAGCTAGTAGAAGGCCATTCTAACCTTTCTAGAGTAAGAGCTCTGGAATCTGGGCACAGCCACTGTGAAGACTGTCACAAAGTCTTCAACTGTTGATAATGTTTCATGGTGACAGGAACAACAAGCCAGGCACGGATAATCATCATATTGGATTGAATCAGGTTCAGCCTAACTGGATGGTTTAGACTTCCATAGCAGCTGACAACAGAGTTCCAGATAGCTCTTGGCCATTACTGGGCACCTTGTGTTGATGGAGAGTAAGAGCCATCCTCCTTTTTTGCAGTTATTAGGCACCTCTGTTGATGGGGAAAAAAAGGCCAGCAATGGCCAGATGCCCCACAGAACTCTGACACAGGGACAAAAATAGCACAGTCCTCATCAAACCCCCTTTCCCTTCCAAATGTAGTGAAAAGGAAAGAGGATGGTGGCATGAGTCCACCTGTCCACGTTACCCACGGAGTAGTGTTGATAAAACTCTGGAGCATTCTCCAACTTTTCCTTATGCAGGGTAAACCTGGGTTAACCCTTTCAATCCCATGCTCTAGATATTGTCTAGTCCAGGAGCAACCTCTGGTTGACACCAGGATACAGGCTCAGTGTAGACAAGCCCTAAGTTTACCTTGGCAAGTATGAATTGCCTACAGAACAGGCATATATGATCAAAACTACTTGCTGCTTCTGTTCCTTCAAAGGAATTCTGAGAGTGGCATTGTTTTTCAGATGTGTGTGTTGTGTGTAGAATCACAATGAAAATATAAACCAATTTGTTTATTAAAGACTCCATAGCAGCTATGCAGTGGGGTATGAAGTGGGTGCTAACAACTTGAGCTCACCCATTGTGCAGGAGACATTTATCTCCTGACTCGCTGAGTCAAAAGCATGAGAGAGGGCTGTCTACGGCTCTGGTATGATTGGCTGCATGAAGGGGAATTCTTAAGTAACACAAACAACACATGATTCCATATTTTTACACTAGCATTTTACCCCAACAGAATCCTGCCCTACTGTTTAGCCCTGTGATTGCAGGACCTTTCAGGGGTGTTTCTCCCCTTTGATTTTGTCCCTTTCACTGTGACACTTTCCAAAATTAGGGAGTACATTTAAACCGAATATGCATATCGCTGCCTACGCGAACAAGGGAGATCAACCCATCCTTGACTCATCTCGGTCTTTTGCAGGAATATGTACCTGAGCTCACACAAGGAATGGCAATGTGGGGGTGTATACACTTTTGATATCCTCCATGGTTGGAGGCCAGAGGGTTTCATATAGCACCATGATGCTTTACATAATGGGGGCAGAACAGCAAGAGGCTATTTAATGCTGACCCCTTACTCGCGCGCTCTGTTGATCTTTGTCTACTTTCATATCAGTAGGAATTTTACTTGTTGCTTCCCTGTTGGGTAAGAATGATCTTCCCTTTACTTGGCTTCGGTTTTTTCTTTGTGTACACCATACTATGTCTGTGGGATGAGTGGCTGAGGATGGTGTCCATGAGAGGCATAGGGAGGTGGGGGGGGGGGTGTCCAGTTGTGTACCTTAATAATTTCCTGTGTGCTGTGTCTACATGGCATGGGCAAACATTGGCCCTCCAGGTGTTTGGACTTCAACTCCCAGAAATCCCAGCCAGTTTACCAGTTGATAGGAATTGTGGGAGCTAGAAATCAAAACATCTGGAGGGCCAAAGTTTGCCCATGCCTAGTCTACATAGTGAAAAGGAGATACAATTTGGCTTTGCAATTGCACCTTCTTTTGAAGCAGTGGTCTGTTTATTTTCATGGCACAGAAATGTTGTTTGTCTACCAACCCCCGAAGAAGGACGCAAAATAAAGACGCTACAACAATTTCTTGGATTCAAATTGGGCAACTTTTATTTAACGTTACCTATTTAACTCTTTTCTAACTCAAGGGTGTCAGAAACTGGTACAACCTAACCCAGGTAGTATCACTACCCGATAATAACAATTTCCGGGCGAAGCACCTGGGTTCCGGTATTAAAACCAGATACCATGAAGGGAAACGAATGAGGAGTCTGTTCGCAATCTCATGCCTCCAGACTCCTCCTTACTAGGCCATTTAACTGCACTTCACATTCGAACTGTGGTGAATGCTCAACTTAATGGCCTGTCACCCCTTAAGGGGGTGCCCTAGGTGCACACCGACTAACATGAATTTTCCTAACTATTTACGCTAAACCTATTTAATGTCGTGCTCACCCCTCCGTCTAGCCCCTAAACAGTACAGGGTAGGCGAAAAAACCCCCCCACTAAAATCAGTGAAGGGGAAAAAATTCCTACCCGGCCCCACAGGCAACCGTGAAATATACTGTTACTGGGCGGGAGTGGTGGGCCAGCTTTCGGGCGCCGAATGCGCCCGCTCGGGTCCGGCCTGCATGCAGGCCACGCCCCCATCCTTCTGGAGGGTTCCTACAAACCCCTCCCACCCTCGTGGGAGGCAGACAAATGTTTTCTCCTCTCCCCACTGCATGGGGAGAGGAAAACTATTGTCTACCAACCCCCGAAGAAGGACGCAAAATAAAGACGCTACAACAATTTCTTGGATTCAAATTGGGCAACTTTTATTTAAAGTTACCTATTTAACTCTTATCTATCTCAAGGGTGTCAGAAACTGGTACCAACTAACCCAGGTAGTATCACTACCCGATAATAACAATTTCCGGGCGAAGCACCTGGGTTCCGGTATTAAAACCAGATACCATGAAGGGAAACGAATGAGGAGTCTGTTCGCAATCTCATGCCTCCAGACTCCTCCTTACTAGGCCATTTAACTGCACTTCACATTCGAACTGTGGTGAATGCTCAACTTAATGGCCTGTCACCCCTTAAGGGGGTGCCCTAGGTGCACACCGACTAACATGAATTTTCCTAACTATTTACGCCACGGAATGGGGGCAAATGTCCATTTCGCCCCCATCCCCCACCAGTTCCTCTAACACCCTAATAATACCTTCCCTTAAGTCCAACAGGAACCTCTGGTTGCCCAATTCCGAAAGATGAACCCCATCACCCCGGTACAACCTCTCGTCATCACGAGAGATATCTGGGTGCTCGATATAATGCCCCCTCTGTTGAATCATGAACACCCGCATGGCCCGGTTAACCCGCTTTCTGGCTTTTTCAAGCCTACGCACGTCGCCTCCTCCTAGCCACCTGCGACGTGGTATAATTGCAGACCGCGCTACATGCACCCTAGGCCATATCCACAACATCTTCCGAATATCCGCCCGAGCCTGTAAAAAGAGGGCTTTACCCGTCAACAGGCCGAGATCGTTCCCACCAAGGTGGATCACCAACACATCAGGAGGGGGCCCATTCCTGGCATCTAACAATAAAGGGCACAAACCGTCCCACCGAAGGCCTTGTACGCCTCTCCACTCGACCGTTGCAGTAGCCGCGAGGCCCAAGTGCTGACCATAGGCATTCTTGCGCGCCTCTCGTCCTGCCCAAAAAACATAACTGTGGCCACAGACCAGGACCCTCCATCTATGAATCAGCCCTACGCGACCTGCAACGATAATGATGCATTATGATGAGACCGCCCGTACGTACCCTCTAAACGCCCCGGACTTCCACCTGCCCAGGGCCTTTATTTCGTCACCCCCGTATCCCATGGCTGCTGCTGACGAGGCAGCCCCAATCCTAAATGAATGGGTCCCAAACTTAAGATGACCCAAACCCAACATATTAAGTGCCTTGGTCGTGATGGCCCAAAACTGGAATTTGGTCAATGGCTTCCCATCACTGTGACAAAACAGATATCCACCTGCCAAACCCCTACTCGCCGTAAATCGTGTCATGGCACTGACGGGGCACAGTTCTTCATCCCCACATTTAAACAGCCTAATTATGTGGCCTTTTGCCCCCTGGTCCGTCTTGGACCCTCGGATCCTGACTTCCATAAAGCCCTTAAAAACTACCACATCCGAAACCAAAAGCGCGCGGTGTGAGGTATCGTTTTTGGAGAAAGCAACCAATTCACTCACTCGAAGAGCTGCAAAAAATGCAGTCAACGCCGCCGCATGAAAAAGAAGCTGTTCGTAATATGTTGTACATAAAATGGGCCACATCTGTTTAAGACCCTTGAGGATTGCTGGCGTAAAAGGCCTCCGGTCATCCTTAATCCTCCCACTCTGCCTAGTCCACCCCGCTAAAATTTTGTGAAGGCGAAAGTCGTCGGTGGAATCGCCAAGCCCTTGGGCCTTGAGCCAAAATGCCAACGCCGACAACTTTGACCGAATGGACTGAGCCGCCAAGCCCTTACGCCTGTGATAAACACAAAACTGAACCAGTTGTTCATATGGAACCGGCATGCATTCAGGTAACATGTATATTCTTCTAAACTCGACAAACTCCCGAACCGCCTTGGCATAAGATTTACGTGAACTAGGTGCCAGAGCACATCTCATACCTAACGCAGCTTCGTCCCTCCAGCCTTCCAGAG